GTAATCTAAGACTCTTACCAATCCCCCAAAACCCCAAAACCCCAGAAACTATTAAAAGACAAAGAATAATTCTGTATAAAATTATAGCAAATAATTAAATATTAATAATGATCACAAAATCAATTGCTAAACTCAGCAAATCTCTTCTCAAGAATAATATCTCTGCTTTAGCTGGCTTTAACAACAAAGCTTTCTCTTCATAAAATCAAACGACCTCTTAATCCGAGTCTGAAGATTTCAGTTAGGATCTAAAGTAAAAGATCGATCCTCTAAGAAACCATGTAAATGATTTCCTTAGAAACACAAGTCAATATGAAGATCAAATATAAGATGTTTTAATGCCCTACTATTTTGATAAATCAAGTAGGTTAGCAGGCCATTGCAGTGAGAAAGGCACAGACAGATATTACAGAAGATCTTAAACTGGAGAGACAAACCTTGAAGTTCATCCTGAGAATTTTAAATACCCTTATGACAGTAATCTCAAATTATCAAGTATAGGCTATGGAACTTATATTGGAGATCCAGATGACCTAACTGATTATTTGATGTATGATGCAATTAAAACTTCTGTTCTTAGTGGTGGGTTGAATGTAATTGATACTTCTCCAAACTATAGATATATGAAATCAGAGAAAACAGTGGGAAAGGTCCTCACAACTCTAGACTAGAAATATGGAATTAAGAGAGATGAGTTGTTTGTAGCAAGCAAAGTTGGGTATGTTCCAGAAGATGCAGAAAGAATGATTTCAGCCAGAGAAGCCATAGAAACATTAATTTAGGATTTGAAGGTTCCTGAAAGTGAAATTGTCAAGGAAAGTGGCCATTGCTTAAACCCAATATTTTTGAAACAACAACTCGAGAATTCTCTTGAAAGATTGAACCTATAATCATTAGATCTCTATTACCTTCACAACCCATATGAAGCTTAAGGACCATATAATACCGATAATGTGATTTTCGATAGAATTACAAAAGCATTTGAATTTATGGAGCAATAAGTATAAGCGGGTAAAATTAGAAACTACGGTCTAGCGACATATTCTTCATTCAGAGTGAAGCCATCTGAGAATAAGATGCACTTAAGTCTTGAAAAAATTCATCAATTAGCAGAAAAAGTAGGTGGGAAAAATAATCATTTCAAGTACATATAAGTACCAATAAATGTGATGATGCCTGAAGCATTCGTTGAAGCTTGGTAACCACACACTGATGATAAACAAGTCACCAAGAACAAGATTTTACTGGGATTGTGCAACGACCTTCAATTAAATGTAATATCGTCTCAACCTCTGCTCTAGGGTTACTTAGCGTAAATTCCCTTATCAAGAGCTCATAATAATGTTTTCAATATCCCAGCAAGACATCTACAATTTGTGAGAAGTATTCCAAGCAAAGCATTAAAGTCAAGTATTGTTGGCATGAAAAGGAATGAACATGTTAGGGGAAATCTAGAAGTAGTGAGAAAAGCATTAATGAAAAGAGAAGAATTTTTCGACTCACTAAAGCCTCACAGAAGGCAAGAATTCATCGAGGAAGAATTAGATATGTGATTTAATAATACATTAATTTCAGCTTTCATTTCAACTTTATCTGGCCAAGATGGGGTTTTGGGGTTTTGGGGTTTTGGGG